GTGTGTTTGATCTATGAGCACAGAGGCCTGGAGACAGAAGGTTCCAGTTGCTGAGATCTCTAATGCACTTACTAAGTGGCCAGCAAGGGACTATACCTCAGAGCTACTTAATTTCCTTTCACATGAGGCCAGGCCCATTCCCTGAAATATCACCACGTGGTACAAGAACAAATGGTGGGTTAGGGGAGAAGTTAATTTTATTAATTTAAGCATATTATTTTGTACAGTGCATTCTATAGCCCATGTAAAGGTCACCTCAGCCGGGAAATTCATCTCATTTTCCTGTCTCATCATCATTTGCCTTTGTTAAACAAAGCTGGCACACATAGACAGGAAAACAAAACCTGAGGGAAACACAACAAATTCACCCAAACAGAAATTGTAACGGAACTGTGGCAACCAACTAAGTCTAAGACATCTGTTCGTACCTGTTGTGCCACGATTCTGACTGGTGACACTGTTTCATGTGTAGCTTCAGTTTTCTCGCCGTGAGCACAGTGAATAGCTATGCTGTCAGGTCTCTGGTAAATCACTGTTGAAGGAAGTGACCTTCTCAATGCCTTTCCCGAGCTGGGTTGGCAAACCAAATGGTTCACCTTCTTACTGATGTTTCTCTTGCTCATGATCTCATCTGCTTTGACTCAAGCGTTCCCTGCTGTAATAACCCCAGGCTTCTTCTTTTCACAGTACATGCGGATGATGGGGCTGCATCCAGCCATCCACTTCCTGTCCTGGTTCCTGGAGAACATGGCTATGCTGGCTCTGAGCAGTGCGGCTCTGGCTGCCATTCTGAAGATGAGTGGCATCTTCCTGCATAGTGATGCTTTCATTGTGTTTCTTTTCTTGCTGGACTTTGGAGTGTCAGCTGTCATGATGAGCTACTTCTTAAGCGTGTTTTTCAACCAAGCTAACACAGCAGCCCTGTGTACCAGCCTGGGGTACATGATCAGCTTCCTGCCCTACGTGGTTCTGTTAGTCCTGCACAACCAACTAAATTTTGCCATTCAGACCCTTCTGGTGAGTGAGATGCTCTGTAAAAAGGAAAGTAAAACCAATAGGTGCCCTCTAATCATGATATAGCCTCAGGCTGCAGTCTGTCTTGTACTGACTTACATGGAACATCTGAGGTCTCTACTCTGTATTCTGCCCACAAATGCAGGACTACAGTGGTGGTTCATTGACTTGCAGTGATGTAGTGGCAGGCCATAAAGAATTGTCAGTTTCCTGTAATGGGGTCTCTTCGAGGATTCTGGGAAGTCAGCAACCTCCTGAAGCAAACATATAACTTTGGATTCTCTTTTGTTTCATGCATGGAAAGAAATAGATTTCTGAAGCTATTTTGGAAGTTAAAAATAAGCATTTTTCTTGAAGCATCATGAGTTACATCACATTAAATGGAAAGATCTCTCCGTTAGCAATGTCAGAATCACTCATCCATTTGAAATGTATGCCCTGAAAAAGAGTGAGAGTGCTTTCAAGTTTGCAGTATAAAATATGCAGAAGATAGCAACAGATTCTTTCTTGACTGTTGTCTGGAAGGCACTGTGTCTGACACATAGTAGAAAATCAGTCAGTATGGTGGGGGTAAGCACATCAACATCAGATTAGGTTCTTTACAGAGCTAGAGTTGTATCTATACCAGGTTGCATCCCCTCTTCTAGTGGGTCAGTAAATGACCTGAAGTAACAATCTATTAGGAGATATGACCAAAATCACTTTGAGGAGGACTTAGGGACATTTCAAGATTATGCATTACTAGAATATTTGGAAACATACAACTAGTCAATGTGTGGAAAACCCTAGACCATAGTGTGACCTGTCCTTTGTAGATACATCTACAAGACAATGTCTAAGGCTCAGGAAACACTGGGTAAGAGGGGATGGAAATATTAAGAACCAGAGGCTTGGGAAGTTTTCTGTGAGATGGTGGACTCTATATATGTCAGGGAGCTCTGCTGTGAGATAGTGTCCTTTGAATATGACAGGGAAGCTGCATCGTGAAGTCTCAACAATATGGCCACCTAAACAATTCATGAAAAATGACACTAGAGGTTGACATGATAAGATAACTGGAAGAAATCTCAGAAGGATCCACTCTAGGTGAAGAGTCACAGGCCATTAATGACTGCTAAGAAATAGAAAGAAATCTCTAATAGATTATCTGATACCAAATGGTCAGCCCTAAACAAATACATATCTGAGCAACACTAAATGAACTCACTAGGTTGTGTTTATATATATATATATGTATGTATGTATATATATATGAATGTGTATGCATGTAACAATAATTTTAAAAGTTCATGGATTTAGAGGGGCTTTTGGTAACACAGGAAGGGTTGGATGGGAGAGAGAGGGGAGGGAATTATGTAAATATAGTATTCACATATGAAATTCTTAAAAAAATACCATGAAGACTTTAAAAAAAATCCTTTTTCTAACATGGTATAACCAAAAGATGAATGTGTCTCTTATTTCTGGGATGGAGAATACCTTTTATGTTCATCTAGAGCCTTAGAGCAACTGCATTATAACAGCCTAATTAGGTCCTCCAACTTCAGTTAAGTGACAATTCAGTATTGTGCTTGTCCCCTCTCTTCTGGCACTGGGAATTGAATCCAAGCCCTGAAACATAATAGACAAATGCTCTACCACTTTTTCTTTTAATTTTTTTTTTGTTTTGAGAAAGAGTTCTATTTACTTACCCCATTGGCCTTGAACTCTTTCTATATCCCATGCAGGTTTTGAACTTGAGATTTTCCCACCTCAACTCCCAAGTAGCAGGGATTATAGGCATGCAACAGCAGGCCCAGCTAGCTGTTCTGTTTTTGCTTTTGTTTTCTGGTAGCCAAATAGACTTAATACATATAAATTGTTCTATTCAATTAGTGTCTGCCGCACTGGTAATGTCCTCATCATCTTGATTAGCTTATATCACACCTACAGCAACTTAAATGCAATAATTCTGTGGTAGAATCAGTCAGGCATTCCTAGAATAAATAACACAAAGCATCATCTGCACATAAGCTCCTTAAACATAGAGTCACCAATGACACAAATTAGCTAAGACTCAAATGCTCTCATTTTTGCTTGTAATTCGATCCTTAAGTCCAAGGCATCTGTCCATTCAGCATATGCTTTGCATATGCAAATGCTTTCTAACTAATGATGACCTTTAACTATGGTGCATTGTCTTTTAAATGTAAGATGCTTTTTTTTAGTGATTTTCTTTTTTTGACATAGAACCTCTTCCACTGAAGATAAATTGACAGCTTCCTTTAATATACTACTTTTATAGTGCAGAATTGTATAGACATCACATCAGTCTATTCAGAGAGTGCTCCAAGGCATACATTTAATAATAAGAAATAGTAAATTGCTCTATTCCATTTCCCACTGTTTTGTGTTACATGTTTCTGTATTCAGTACATTGGATTTATGACACCTCGAATGCTTCGGTGAAAAGAAATAATTCCTTTTAGTATTAAAAACAAGCTGGCGAGCATGAGTTTCAGCGTGCACTGACACTGCTAATCCCTTCCGGCTCAGATATTTAAGCCATTGCCTGAAACACTGCTATCCTTAGAACCTTTAAATTGGGAGGTGTCTTCTTCCAACTCTGTGCAATGAGTTTTCTGTGGCCGCAATCAAACACTAATGACTGCTTTCCCTCCCTCCATCGGCCTCGGCAGTGCTTGCTCTCAACCACAGCCTTCGGACAAGGAGTCTTTTTCATTACATTTCTGGAAGGACAGGAGGAAGGTAAGAGGATGGCCTCTCCAGAGGGTGGCTTTCTGGGTCCTGTGTCGAATTAGCAAAGAAAAGGTCACAGCTATTACCTCCATTTTCTGTATGTATTTACTCATACACCTGGCTTAAATAATTTTCTTTTAAAATAAGTTCTCTAGCTCAGGTTAGATTTGAAATCCTGTATAGGTGAATATGACCTTTCATTTTCGATTCTCTTGTCAGCACCTCCCAAGTGCTGGGGTCGCAGGATACACCACCACATTGGTTTACATAGTGCCAGGGACTGCATCCAGAACCGTGTTACATCTCCAGCTCCGTAAACTAATTTTAAAAAGTACTGGCAGTCCTGTTTGACTTAGATTGCATTTTCTAAAAAAACCATAAGGTCTTTAATAAGAACATTTGTTTTTTAGATTTTCATATGGTTTTGGGCTATGTTTTGGAAATAGAGGAAAATGTAAGCCATAGGTAAAATTCAACATTGGCTGTTATTGCTCTGCGCAGTCACTTTACACTGTTAGACTTACCAACTTTTCCAGTAAAGCATGCTAAAAGGTCCCTTTGATCTAAAATGGCTTCCCCTCCATTTGATCTGCAAAGTCACAATTAAATTGGCGGATTATTTTGGTCCATATGACAGCAAGTATACAGTGGTTAAAACTTTTAAAGCTGGGTGCTAACTTAGTGCCACAGTGAAGAGAAAGAGGAATAATGTTCTCAACTTATATTGTGATCCAGGAATGAATTACAAACATAAGAAAATAATGATTTTTTTCCCACTGTAGACCTTTTATATATTATTTAACATATTTTCCTAGAGCAGAGTAATATATAATCTCAAGTTTTATTATACAACACTTTTACTTTTTGCTGTGAATATAACATCACTCTTAAGTCAGGTAAAATAGATACAAATGGCTCTCAGAGTTTTGGATGTTGGAGAAAAATGTGGCGCTAATGGTTTCTCACGGTCCATGAGACAGGTGAGATCACACAAGCTAATGATGCCTCTGGAGAGTTAGTTTTACTTGTACCGACTTGCTTTCTGTGTCCTCTGACGCTTCTGTAGAGTGAGGATCCTCTCTCATCAAACCTGCAGTAAAAGAATGGGCCCATGTAACTTAGTCCTTTCTCCTCTGGCCAGGGATCCAGTGGAGTCACATGTACCGAGCTCCAGAGCCAGGGGGCATGACGTTTGGCTGGGTCTGCTGGATGATTCTGTTTGATTCAATCCTCTATTTTCTGTGTGGATGGTATTTCAGCAACTTGGTCCCTGGTAAGACATCTTCATTTTCATAAGACAACAAAATGAACTTTAACAGTCTTCACACCTATGCACTGGGATGTCAGAATGATTATGCTTCATAGTAGCTACCTGAAAGAGACGTTAAAAGGAGCTGTAAGTTTTGGGAGAATGTGTATTCTGAGTAAAGGCCAAAGGCCAGATGAGGTATCACAGGATGAGTAAAGGGGAAAGTTCTTGGGACCCACCAGCAGCTCTCAACATGTGGTTTACTATATTCAAGCTCTGTTTTCTAAGGACAAGTGTCTGAAGGAAGGGGGCGTGAGGACAGTCAGGACGAAGGAGTCTGGGGCTCTGGAGGTGTTGGCCTGCACATAGCTAAGACACCCAGCGGGATCAGTGATAGGGCAGAGGAAGGGTCTGTGGATAGAACTCGTCTGGGGGCAGTCCAGCCTGAGGTGGATTCTTGAGGAAAGCAGACAGGGCAGGGGATGTTGGAATAGTTGAACGTTGGATGTTTGCTAGAGGAGGGGGCACTTTCGAGTCACTTCCAGATCCAAGCCTGTAGGTGAGGTCCCAGGTAAGTGTCCAAGGTAAGGATTTCTCTGAATGTAATATGCTTCCTCTTTAATATGGCAGGCAAGACCTGGAGGCAGGAGGATGGCACCTATCACAGTGAGGGAGGGGCAAGACAGGAGGAATGTATTTCTCTGCTGAGTCAAGAGAGACAGAAGCATACATTTACCATTTTGGCTCAGACTAAAAGGCAGAAAAATTATTTTGTAATTTTGAAAAAAACTTAGAATTGTCATATAGAGGGAATTATATTTTATTGAATTTTCTTGTGACTCAGGCTCTATACTTTCCAGAAAAAAATGGACTTCTAACCATTAAAATTAAAAGCTATAAATACACATTCCAAACATGCAAATGAAAGCAGAGGAATGGATGGCAAAATAAATCACTTTCTATTTCACTGTGAAAACCCATTTAATAGTTGGGGAACTCATAGAATTCCTGACGGCTAGCACACACATAAAGCATAGGTCATTGAAAAGACATTTCCAGTGGTATGAAAATATGGCCTCAAGAATAGACGTAAGGTATCAACTGACCAGGCAATTCATTTTTGAAAAAGTAGGATTGCACGAAATTAAAAAGTAATAAAATGAACCCAGAAGGGTGAAATTGTCAAGAAGCTGGATGAGAAGTTGGCCAGTGAAGAAGCCAAGTAATGTAGTAAAAGAAGACTGTGATGGGGTGTGAGTTCCTTTATAGAATGAGAATGCAGCCATGAGCATAGAGAAGTGAACAGAGGGGCTGGAGAGAGGGCTTAGCTTGTGAGAGCTTGCTGCTCTTGCAGAGCACCCAGGTTCAGTTCCTAACACCCATACTGGCCAGCTTACAACCACCTGTGAGTGTAGTTTCAAGGGACCTCTCTTCTGGACTCCATCAGCACTTGTACTCTTGTACACACACACACACACACACACACACACACACACACACACACACACACACACACACTTAAAAATAAATCCTAAAATACACAAATTAAAAGAAAGAAATGAGCCAAGCTAGATACAGTAGCACAGCCCAGGAATACCAGCATGTAGGAGGCAGAGGTAGTAGATCATGGGTTCAGTGGCAACATGTGCTACTCGGTGAAATCCTCTTAAAAAAACAAAAACAAGCAAACAGAAGAGGACTGGAAAGCGAAGGAGGAATCAGCAGAAATAAGATAAAAAAGGCTAATGGAAATTGAGGTTCTGTTGGTTCAGGACCACTGATCCTTAGAGGAGCCCAAATCAGCTGAACTAAAGGTAATCGAGAAGGGTCACCGGAAGAGAAGTGACAAGTCATGATCATCACTCGACACACACGATTCCTAAGACAGGAATGTCCAGATAGAGAACTCCAAGGACAAAGAGAAGAGCCTCACAACCACACAGACAATCAAAATCAGGCTACCATCAGCCGTGCTGAGTGGAAAATGTGTTCAAGGACCACGGGTGTTCTAACTTCTTTTCCACTGTCAAAACCTGAGGTACAGGAATACTGATGGCCTCACTAAGGTCTTATTGCTGTGACAAAAATATAACCAAAAGCAGCTTATGGTGGAAAGTGTTTATTTCAGTTTGCATTTCTACACTACAGTCCATCACAGAGGGAATTCAAGGCAAGAACTCAAACAGCACAGGAACCTGGATGCTGGGTGTAATGTGAATTTGTTTTTTGTTCCAGTTGGATGAAAATGAACACACAGACGCTATATAAATTATGAAACTGTTGGCCGTTGGCTTGAGTTTCTTATCAGCTAGCTCTGTCTTAATTATCAACCCATTTCTATCAATCAATGTATTGCCATGAGGCTGTGGCTTATCTTACTAGAGAAGGATCCGGGACTCCAGCTCCTTTGGTGGCACACATGATGACTGCTAAGCATCTCCGTGGAGAAGAGAGTGATTTCCTGTCTGGCCAATCATCCAATTATGCTTTATTTTTTAACCAGTAAGAGAAACATATACACAGAAGAACATTCCCCATCAGCAGGGCTGATACAGAGGCAGTGGAGGAGTGCTGCTTACTGGTTATTCATCAAGGCTTCCTCAGCCTGCTTTCTTGTAGCACCCAGGGCCATCAGCCCAGAGGTTACACTACCCACAATGAGCAGGATCCTCCCACCTCAATGACTAATTAAGAAATGCCAAAAAGGCTTGCTTAAGGGCCACTCTTTTTTTCTTTTTTAATTTAAATTAGAAACAAGATTCTTTTACATGTCAATACAAGTACCTTCTCCCTCTCCTCCTCGCCTCCCCTCCCACCAACCCCCTTCCCATCCCTTCTGCTCCACAGGGATGGTGAGGCCTTCCATGGGAGATCTTCAAAATCTGTCATATCATTTGGAGCAGGGCCTAGGCCCTCCCCCATGTGTCTAGGCTGAGACATTTCTCTAGTGCCAGATTTCTCTTTATTAAACCTATAATGGCTCCCTCTAGTATGGTATCTCTTTTCTTGCTCTCCTCTATTCTTCCCCTGACTTGATCTTCCTGCTCCCTCCTGTCATCCTCTCCCCTTCTTTTCTCCCCTTCTCTTTATTCTAACTCCCTCTCCCCTCCACCATGCTCCCAATTAGTTCACAAGATCTTGTCCCTTTCCCCATGTATGTCTGTCTCTCTTAGGGCCCTCCTTGTTTCCATGCTTCTCTGGTGGAGTAGATTGTAGGCTGGTACTCCTTTGCTCTATGACTAAAATCCATATATGAGTGAGTACATACCACTTTTATCTTTTTGTAGTAGTCACCAGTCAGGACAGTTTCTTCTAGATCCATCCATTTGTCTGTAAATTTCAAGATTCCTTGTTTTTTTTTTTTCACTGAGTAGTACTCCATTGTGTAAATGTACCCCATTTTCTCTATTCACTCTTCAGTTGAGGGGCATCTAGGTTGCTTCCAGTTTCTGGCTATTACAAATAATGCTGCTATAAACATGGTTGAACAGATGTCCTTGTTGCATGAATGTGCATCTTTTGGGTATATGCCTAAGAGTGGAATCCCTGGGTTTTGTGGTAGACTGATTTCCATTTTCCGGAGGAATCTCCATAATTATTTCCAAAGTGGCTGTATGAGTTGCCACTCCCACTAGCAGTGGAGGAGTGTTCCTCTTTCTTCACATCACATCCTCTCCAGCATAAACTGTCATTGTGTTTTTGATTTTAGCCATTCTGACAGGAGTAAGATGGTATCTCAGAGTTGTGTTGATTTGCATTTCCTTGGTAGCTAAGGATGTTGATCACTTTCTTAAGTGTCTATTGGCCATTTTGACTCCTCTATTGAGAATTCTCTATATAGTTCTGTAGCCCACATTTTAATTGGATCCTTCGGTGTTTTGGAAACTTGCTTCTTGAGTTCTTTATAAATTTTGGAGATCAGCCCTCTGTCAGGTGTGGGGTTAGTGAATATCTCTTCCCATTCTGTGGGCTGCCTTTTTTTCTTGTTGACTGTGTCCTTTGCCTTACAGAAGCTTCTCAGAAGGTCCCATTTATTAATTGTTGATCTCAGTGACTGTGATACTGGTGTTGTGTTCAGGAAGTGGTCTCCTGTAACAATTTGTTCAAGGGTGCCTCCCACTTTCTCTTCTAAGAGGTTCAGTGTGGCTAGATTTATGTTGAGGTCTGTGATCCATTTGGACTTAAGTTTTGTGCATGGTGATAGACATGGATCTATTTGTAGTCTTCTACATGTCAGTATCCAGTTATGCCAGCACTATTTGTTGAAGATGCTTTCTGTTTCCCAGCGTATAATTTTAGTTTATTTGTCAAAGATCAGGTGTTCATACATGTATGGGTTAATATCGGGGTGTTCAATTCGATTCCATTTGTCTACCTATCTATTTTTGTGCCAATACCAAGCGTTTTCAGGACTATAGCTCTGTAATAGAGCTTGAAGTCAGGGATGGTGATGACTCCGGATGTTGCTTTGTTGAACATGGTTGTTTTGGCTATCCTGGGTCTTTTGTTTTTCCATATAAAGTTGAGAATTGTTCTTTCAAGGTCAGTGAAGAATTGTGCTGGGATTTTAATGGGGATTACGTTGAATCTGTAGATTGCTTTTGGCAAGATTGCCATTTTTGCTATGTTGATCCTACCTATCCAAGAGCATGGGAGATCCTTCCATTTTCTGGTGTCTTCTTTAATTTCTTTCTTTAAAGACTCAAAGTCTTTGCGATATAGGGCTTTGACTTGTTTGGTTAGCATTACCCCAAGATATTTTATGTTGTTTGTGGCAATTGTAAAAGGTGATGTTTTTCTGATTTCTTTCCCAGCCCTTTTATCATCTGTATATTGTAGGACTACTGATTTTCTTGAGGTAATCTTGTATCCTGCCACTTTGCTGAAGGTGTTTATCAGCTATCAGAGTTCCCTTGTAGCGTTTTTCGGGTCACTTATGTAAACTATCATATCATCTGCAAATAGTGAAAGTTTGACTTCTTCTTTTGCAATTTGTATCCCCTTGATCTCCTTTTGTTGTCTTATTGCTCTAGCTAGAGCTTCAAGTACAATGTTGAGGAGATATGGAGAGAGTGGACACCCTTGCCTTGTTCCTGATTTTAGAGGAATCATGCTACATTTCT